ACCAGCAGCCCCTGCTTCTGCGAGCTGTACTTGAGCGAGATGAGGATTCGGCCGCGCTCCTCCAGCGACTTGTCCTCTGTTTTGTCTATCTGGGGGAGGGAACACACCAAGTCCAGGGGCTGCTGCCACGGCTGGACACCCCCCTCCCATCCCTGATGACATTTGAGGGGTCAAACTACCCCCACGTGCTGCAGGGAGAAGCTGCTGCATCTGTGGGACCGTGGCAGGAGATGCTGCTCTGAACCTTTCCCCTCACCGGCAGCTGCTTCTCCAGGCAGATGTTGAAGTTTTTGGTTTGGTTGGGCTTCAGTTTCTTCAGTGGGATCCGCGTCTCCCCGATGAACTCATTGTGGCGGAACTTGTCCTCGTCACAGACCGAGATCCTGCAATGAGCAGTGGGTAAGTGGGGTCGTGGAGGCGAGGGGAGGTGATGGCACGAGGGAAGGGGCTGCTCCATCGCACTGCATGAGCCCCCAGCGAGGGGACAAATCCAGGAGCACTGTTCCCTAGGCCAGTGACCGGGTATCTCCGCTGCAGGCAGCTGCAGCACATCAATCTTCTGCTCCAGCCTGACCAGAGCAGCTCATGATGTTTAAATGAGACACCCAACACCTCTGTCTGCTTCACCTCCACAGTCGAGACCCGAGGCTGCTGCAATGGAGGACTGGCCAGGTCTGGGGATGCGGGAGGTGAAGGTCGTGCCACACCACATCTGCCTGCTAGGATGCTGCACCACATCAGCTCCATCCCATGTGGAGGTACCTGCACACCCCAGCTGGGCCCCACAGCCACCATGGCCTCCTCTCCTGCTCAGACCCACAATGACTGTCACCCCACCAAGGAGATGCTCCCAGACTCTGAGCAGCAGCGCGGTGCTGCAGTGTCTGCAGCTATCACACACACTAGCCCAGCCGCCGTTGGAAAAGCAGCCCAGGACCTCAAGCATCCCAATGGCTCTTCTATTAAACTATTGGTGCTTAGATCACAACTATTCTGATCAGCCGCCTGCCCAGCTGCATCCTGCCCAGCCAAGGAGGGTCCTTCCTCCCTGCAGGGCTCCCTCCTCTCCCATCTGAACAGCTTGGGCACTTTTCCGAACGTGACATCTCTCAAGTTGTCCCTCAGTGCTGGGGACCCAGTCTGGGACACAGAGAGGGTCCATCCGCTCCTCTCCCACCATGGAGATAAAACCAGGAGAAATTTGCAGACCCAGCCTGTGAAAGACATCACACCTTGGCCAAGCAAAGCTCTCCGAGCCCCATCGCGGTCCTGTGCGGGGCTGGGTCCCGGGATGCACCCGTGACAGCAGCCTGCACCCAAGGGCAGTGACAGCGATGCTGAACGTAGGCTGTTTTCCGTGCGAAAGCCATAGACGCCCTTCCCTGAGCTGGCAGTGAATGAGTCATTTCTCTGCCGCTTCCCAGCCCGCTCCATGCATCAGGAGAGACGACAGAAAAGCAAAGTTAGCGCTTGCAGGGATCTGCTGCTCGCAGCTCCCGAAATCCCAGAGAGGGGGTCAGGAGGGCACAGGCTGCCCTGGGAGGGACTGGGCAGTCCCCGGACAGAGCTGCCTGGAGCTGGGGACAGGGAAAGCCCCATGCAGTGGCTGGCTGGGCTCCCTGTCCATAAATAAAAGGCATTTTCCTTCCCTTCTCTACTTACTACCCTTTTTAAAAAAATCCTACAGTGTGTTCACATCCTTTTGCTGCCTGATTTTTCCTCTCTTTCATCCACTCCTGTTGGTGCCCATTTCTCATGGGTGGCACCTCTGCCTCCGGAGACCATGCTCTGCCCTGCTGAGTTTTGACAAATGGGGCCTATTCAAGAGGTGGTAAAAGGAATTAAAGCTAAAAAATGCCCTGTGATCCCGCCTCAGGGTAACTGATTGCACACCTTGCTTCTGGCCTGGATGGTTTATCCATGGATGGTTTGTCCATGGATGATGTGGCCAGCCAGCCCCATGCTCACAAGTGAATGAGAAGGCAGCGAGGGAGGCAGTCACAGGGCAGAAGGACTCTCAGGGCTGGGGAGTGGCAGAGGAAGGGAGCTTGGAAAAAAAAAGAATCCAAGTAGGAAGACAGGGAATGCTGCTCTCCAGAAAACTGTAGCTGGATGCAGCGTTACTATAGATACTTGTGGAAAAAACCCACCCCACTGCAACAGTAAAATCCTCAAAGAGAATTTCAAATGCAGGCACAGTATTTCCTATTTCCCTTCTTCCTCTCACCTCTCTTTTAAAGAGCAAAACCGAGAAAGGAGCAGCAGCAGCTCCAGACAAGAAGCGGCACTTGCCAGGCGTGCGCAACCCCGTTCCCATCTGGGCAAAGCTCCGGGGAGGGAGCGCAAGTGCTGCTGTGAAAGCCGGGCTGGGGAGAGGAGAGTGGCCCTCGCCAGCAGCTGACAGCCAGGGCTCTGCTTTGACAACCGTGAACTGGAGCCGGGGAGGCAGGGTTTGGTGCTGGTTTTACCTCTTAAGAACATGAGTAACAAGATCTTTCCCCCTGGCAATGTCTAGATATGCCCCAAAAGCACAAGATGATACCAAATGCTATGTCCTGCTTGATGTGAAGCCCCAGAATCACCCAGGATGGGGGGAAGCTCAGGAAGGAAACGGCTGGAAAACTTCAGCGGTGGTGGCAGGGCTGCCCGGGATGCCCCAGCGTGGCACTGGCCCCGGGTCCACAAGCCCCAGCCTAGGACAGTGCCGCAGGGCGCACGTCCCCGCTGTCCCATGGGACCAACAGCCCTGTGCAAGTGCCCTGTGTGCAGTGCCCAGAGGTGGTTCAGATGCAGCATTTCGTGTCAGCCCTCCCGAGTGCAGCCCCCATGCCCCAGTCCCTCTGGACAGCTGAGGTTCATCTTCACCGGGATGCTATTTGTAACTGGGCGCGGCGCTGTAAGGGAAGGCAATGAGCGTGAGTCAGACAAGCAGGCAGCTCCAGCCCCAGCCCGCATTTGAAAATAGGCATAGTGGAATTACACCAGCTTGGATTTTATTAGGAGCAATCAATGTGATGGAATTTTTATGCCTTGGGTTAGAAAATCAGCTCCATGACAAACAGCGAGAGGCACTGCTGGCAGCCACGCTCACCTGCCGTCCCGAGCCTTTCACTCGAACATTCCCCCTCCCTCATCTCTCTTTATTAAACCAAATCTCTTGGGCTGAGCTTTTGATTTGACAGTTTCCAGTGAGGGGTCCTGATCTTTAAGTTAAGGGCTGTAAAAACCACCTTGGAAGAAAACTAAGCAGCAAGTGAACAATCACTGCTCATTAAACTTACTTATCCTCCCTCCTACTCAGCCCGGGCACCTGGGTTACAGTCCTGACTCACTGCACGGCTCAAGCAACCCCGCTCCGCTGACTCACGGCTTCTGCTCACACACACGCTCCTTCAGCCCCTTTTCCATCATGGAAAGTGGAGAATGGGGGTCAACGAGGACCCTCTTCCACAACCAGACACACATAACAGGCAGCAGAGGCTGAAGACACATCTGTATCCAAGATCCCTATTGATTATGGTCCCTATAGCAACTTGGGAAGCTCTCGATGGAGGAGCAGACGCGCAGGTGATGTCTGCTTGGCTTAAGGACAGCCAACCCCTGGCAAGGAGAGAAAAGAGAAAAAGGCAGCATCCTGGGACTGTCCAGCTCTCCTAAAAACCAAGAGGAGGATTCAGTGAATCCTCCCACAGGAAGCACAGTAAAAGTTGGATGCAATTAGGAGTGCGCCTGCAGTTCCAGAGCAAGCCTCATTCAGCGCTTCTGGAGTAAAGCAATTCGGGACCCCAAATCTCTCAGTGTGTGCAGGAGGCCTATTAGACCTGATCAAATACTATTTTCTGAATAAGATCTTTAATGAGTCATGATGTTTGTCAAACACATGATTAAACAAAGAATTCCTGGCATTCGTGGGCTAGCTGAGTAGCATATGAATAATGCATGACTTTGCCAATATATCTGGGTATGAATAATTGTATCCAATATCTGGCCAGCTCTGATATTTATTCTGAATACAATCTATTTATTACATGTATTATTTAAATGTAGGAGATTGTATTCTGCCTATTCCCATTTCCCCTGCAGTATTTCTCTGCCTTCCCCCAGCTTCCCACCACTGGAGACCACGGCCAAGCTGCTGTGGAGCAACGGCGCCCATGGACAGGGACTGGGAGGGGGATTGCAGGGTGGGATTCACCCCTGGTGCTGGCAGGGACCCTGCCCCCAAGCCCATCACTTCAAGTCCAGTGGCTCCAAATTTGCCTTCTCCCAGGATGGTGGGTAGTTTCACTGCTATTAAGGCTTGGGCCAGACTCAAGGACATTTCATTCAATGAATGGATGAGACCTTTCAAGATCCTCCCACCTGCTGTGTTCTGTGCAATATCTGAAGTATCTGGTGTTTTTTGAGGGGGCTGATTCATTAACAAAATCCTGCTTGCCAGCGCAATTAGCCCAGCTGCCTTCACCTCTCCTTTTCCCTTGGTCCCTGCTTGGGGAGGGGAACTCCAATGGCTCCCAGGGCTTGGGTACACCACAGTGAAGTCTCTTGGCCAGCTCAGATGAGGCTGCATGGGGACCAGGGGCACCTTGTCAGGGCTGGGGGGCTCGGGTGAGAGGGGATCCATTGCTCCACTCTCCAGGAGGCAGAGGATGTCCCTACTCCAGCAGAGTGCTCCATGCCAATGCTGGACACGTCCCTCCGAGAGCCCATGTGGGCAGGGAAGATTTTTTGGGTCCTTTTCCAGCTTTTTGGCTGCACCACATGCTCTGCAGGCAGAAGAGAGGGGAAGGCTGGCGGCAGCTTTGATCTCCGCTGTTATTTTTACATTAAAGAGACTTTGCAATCGCGTTCCCTGCCCCTCCGTGGATCTCAGCTCTGAGGAGGCTCCTGGGGAACAATCACCTCCCAGACCACGGGAGCATCGCTCATGCTCTTTCAACTGCCCACAGCTGCTGTGCAGGAGCCTTGCTGATCAGCGCAGGGAAAGCCAGTGTCCCCGCAGCTTTGAAGTCAGCCTTTCCTGGAGGGAAAGGAGAGATTTTGTGGAGATGATGGGCAGGCGAAGAGAAGGAGCAAAGTCAGGACAATACGTGGCACTGGGAGGGAGGAGGGCCATTGCTGCTGGTGTTACGGAGAGGCTCATAGAGGAGAAGTAGCTGAATCCACAACAAAATAAAAAATCCTAAGTGAACCCCAGCTGCCAGGGACCCCAGCCCATCCCTCCCTCCTCACAGAAACCAAAGATCAGCCCCAGTTGGGCAGCAAGGACACAATTCAACAGGTACCGAAATGAGGAGGTGCAACATTACCCAGCCTCGCATCCTTCTGCTCGATTAAATGTCCAGTGTTTGAAAAGAAGAAAATCCAAGCAAGGAATTAAAATAAAAGATGGATTTTTCTACTTTGCGATAGGTTTGCAAGAAGTCTCATCTCATCTAAACCCGCCTCAGGATAAAGAAAATCTCCTTTGCCAATATCTTCAATTGAGCAGATAGAGAAAAGAAAAATGGGGTCTGGGGAATTGCTCTTAAGGAAAATGAAGAGCACTTGAATTTTAGGATCTGGCTCCCTCATGCAAGGCAGGAAATGAAGCCAGGGTGCTCAGAAGCTTTGATTTAACAGAGGAACCCCACGGTCCATAGGCAAGATTTTGAGTTCCCACTTGAAATCAGCCAACCCCACTGGGCACCGCAGCCGAGCACATGCTCTATTAGGAATTTTTGGGGGATCCACACAAGAGAAGAGTCTGAAACCTCACCAGGTGACCCACCAAAGCCAGGGGAGGACATGGACCACACAGCAGGTGACAGCCCTGCAGTGGAGGGAAACCTTCTCCACCCAAAAGTTTGTTTCTTTAGTTCTCTGGAGGTGTTTCCAGTCAAACCCAAAGCCACAAGCCCCAGCCCTGCACCAAGCTCCACTTCACAAACTCCTCCACTCTTTCCTTGCACGACCTTCCCAGGGAGACAGCGGGGCCACCTGAGCCCCTCTAAAGAACCCGTAACACCCAGCACAGAGTTTGCAGTTTTTAGGTCATCTTTGGTGGCTGATTGCCATGGTGACACCAAAGATGTGACTCTCCCCTTCTGCCCCATGCAAGAAAAGACTCAGAATTGTGCCTGGGTACTCCTCTCCACGCGGAGAGGATTTTGATTGTTAATTATCACCTAATTCACCAAATCCTATCACAAAATCTTGGCTGGTGGTAAGGAAACCTCAGCTGCAAAGCAGAGTCTTTGTGCAGAGCTGGAGAGCCTGGGAACCCCCCTGCTAAGAGGCGGCTCTGAAGGGCGCGAAGGCACGAGGAGGATGGTTCTGATGACACAAAAAGACACCAGCCCCAGGACACTGCCCTTGCGTGGGCAGATGAGGCTTCACAGGGAGTTTCGTTTTGGCTGGGAGCTCACACAGGACAACGGCACCGCAGGTGAGCCCAAGGCCTCCCTCGCCTCCCTGGAAAGGCGCCCTTGGAAGCTACTTTGGGTAATTGGCTGTTAAGTGACCTGCAACATCTCCTGAGCTCCCTGTGGAGCTCCCAGCACAGAAATGCTTGCTGCATTCATCTGCATCCCCCTGCAGAGCCAGGGGATCCCACACATCCCCCCGGGGTTCTGCGAGTGGGGTGCAGGGTTCATGTACAGCGTTTAGCGTTGGAGGGGGCACAAGGAGCCCCATGTGCTGGGCCCTGCAGGAAACCATGGCCACGCTGGGCTCCCCATGAAGCACTCACAGCACCCAAACTGGTGAGCAGGGGTGGGGATGTGCTAATGAGGGATTTCTGCAAGAAGGACAAATCCAGCCTATTTCTATGTGCCTCCTTGCCATCGAGCATCCCTGCTGCCTCCCAAGAGCAGCTTCCAGGACCCCCAAAAGGTGGGGGTCGAGCCCTTCTGCTCCCTGGCATATTTTGGCCGACAGCTCAGCTGAACTTCTCTCTACAAACTGATTTCCACACTTGAAGAGGCTGAAAACTTCAAAGCCTGGAGTGAAGAAATAAAAAAAATACTCACCAATAATAATAATAAACCAGAGGCTTCCCAGCCTGACAAGCCTGCAGCACTTCCAGCATGACTAATATTTTCCACGTCAAATAATAATCCACGGCACTAAATTTCTCATCGCTATGCACATTGCAAGACAACAGGTGGGCTCTGCCCAAATTCACCTCTGAGCAGGACCTGCTGTAAGGCAGCTTTGTGCTCTCATCGTGGAAGAAATAATAAACTCCCAGGGCATCTGCAAATACGGAGCATGGGATTCCAGCCACGGAGCTGAAAAAGCCCTGAGTCCTTGTCGCAGGATGCAAAATCCTCCTTTGCTTGACAGCAGATCTCACAGCAAATCCTGCGCAGCGGTGCCCAGCACCCCCCAGGCAGGACCCGTCCACAGGCTCCAGGTCCCCCCTGCCCTCACCCAGGTGCGACAGTGGCCAAGACACGAAAACCTCTGCATTCGCAGGGGTCTGACCCCACACAGCAGCACTTCCGAGCTCACATGGCCCCACCGCGCTGCCCCTGCCCACCTCCAGCCCTCGGGAGGTGCTGAATGTGCAGAGACCAAACCAAACCGAGAAAGCAGAATAAATACATACAAATGCTCTCCATTTAGCTTGACAATAATCCAAAGATGCATCCAGCTTTCCTCCAAAAAGTTCAGCCTCCAAAGGGGCCCAAGGGCTTTCCCAGGGAGATTTGCTCAGCAAAACGCGACTGCAGAGCCTTTGCACATACCCATGAGAGCAGGGCATGAAGAGGTTAAAACCAACCAGCAGCATCTCTGCAGGCAGGAGCCCAGCGAGTGAGTTATGAAGTTAATGGCAAAGCTGGACCACGCTCCTCACCGGCTATTCCAGCCCATACTTCCGTAAATCAAGTGCCAGTCACCGCATGGGTGATGGATGCAGGCAGGGCAGGCAACCAAGCTACAGGCTCTGGGGGGCAATAACTCTGCTGCAAGCAGCCGCCGGGACTGTCCTGTGGGGCTGGAGTATGGGGGTCCCATCAGCTCCCCAAGGAAATTGTCACTGGGATGGGGAGGGATGCCCAGGGTGGCCCTGAGGGGAGGGGAAGGGACACAAGATCCCCCCAGCGCCGGGCTCAGCACCCTCTGGGGCCTTACCGCAGGGTCTTGCGGATCATGTCCTCGTCGGTGATGCCGTAATAGGTGAGCGTCTCGTTCCAGGTGGGGTTCAGCGTGTTGCGTAGCGTTTTGGTCCTCAGCTTATTCGCCTGGAAAAGCAAAGGAGACAGTGGTCAGCGGGAGCTGGTCCCCGATGGTCATTTGGGCACCGAAGGGCAGGGAGGGGGAAGAAAAGGAAGCACAGGTTGGAGATGAAGGTGCAATTGGTGCTGTTGCCCTTCTGCTCCCATGTCACAACATGGCCAGTCCTCAATGGGGTGGCCCAAACCCCACTCAATGGATAAGCAGAGTGATAAGCAGAGGGGCAGAGCCACAATGACTCGCTCGCTTGCAAAGCAACCCAATCCTGCATCCTGGAAACAGTCAGCAAAATGGGAAACTTGGCAGAGCACAGAGAGAGGATGGAGAACTCATTTATGCAGCAGGAGAGAGTGAGAGAGGGAGAACATGTCTTTTCAGGTTCATTAAAAAATACCAATTTGCTGTACTGGCTGGTTATTTTCATTCCTTCTCCCAGCACAGCTCCCGTTCCTGCCTGACTCAAAATAACTTCCTTGATACACGTTTTGTTAGCATTGGCAACTCCTCCCAGCACCACGGCTCTGCAGAGCTTGTGGCCAGGGACAGAGGGAGAGCAGAAGCAAAGGGCTGCAGGCTTCAGAGGGGGCTTCTCCATCAAACCCCGGCCTGGGACAGCCTGTCAGAGCAGAAATGTTCCCTCTAATTAGGTGTAAAATCAGAAAGTTCAATCCCAGCTTGCCATAAGGAACTCTCATTAAATCAAACCCGCAAGGTTGTCCTGTGCATCCTTATGGGAAGCTGCTACCTGCCCCATCTTTGGTTCACCAGCCCTAAGCGGGACGTGAAGTATGGGGTGAAGAAAAGAGGTGGTGTTTGCAGCGAAGGGGGGGAAATCACCTTATTGGCACAACCTTTCCTCACCAAAAGCACCCCAAACCCACAATCTCTTCCAGATCAACCAGAGCACCCGGAGACACGGCCAGGGGTGATGGCAGAGTAATGCCAACAGAAGGAGAATGCAGAAAGGTGCTCTCATTTATGGCCTGCCATCACCATTTATTTAATACCTCGTTTGCCTTAAATCTTTCCCAAACTTGTAAAGTTGCTTCAAACAAGGCACTTTATCGTACCAGGTTTTATCCCACACCTATTTTATTTCCTTCCTTGGTGATACTGTGGGCTTCAGCTCAAGCAGCAAGATACATATCAGAGAAGGAGCATAAACCCTTTAGGGAGGTGACAAGGACAGAAAGGAAAGCGCCGATGGCATCCGCTGCCTGCTCAGACCTGCCAGGGCCTGACCCTGGGGCTCTGGGGCATCAGGAAGGAAAATGGGTTTAGCCAAGAGGGTAATGGCATAGGCATTGGGACCCAAATTAAACCAGAGAAACAGAGCTATGGGAGCACCTTTTTCTCCCACCTGAAACAACTCCATCACATTTGGCTCAGGTGGAGACCTCAGTGACCACACCGGGATGTGGGGAACAAGGAGAGGGTCCCTCCATGGCTGCTTCTGCCCTGTGCAGGCTGCAGCTCCTGCACTACTCAGAGCTTCCCTCCTGCCTCTCCAGTCTCCATCACCTCAAGCAGAAATGCTAATCAATGCATTTGCAAAACATGGAAATGACAGATAATATCACTGATGAAAGCGCTCCTGGCTCTCCTATTTCCAGCAGAACTTGAAATGTGGTTAAAAACTCCCTCTACCGCCCTGAACATTATGAATTAATTCAACTGAACCGTAACAAGTAAATATAACTCCCCCAAAAAGGTCTTTCCTTTAGTGTAAAATAAGAGAGCAATTAATATTCATAACACATACATTTAGCATTTAAATTCAACATCCTCATCAGTTACACCAAGCTCTCACCACACATCAATATCTTTAATTACTCTTCTCTCCAGCTAGCGCTGAGCCTAAGTCGATGGAAATATTTCCCCTATGATTTATACTCTGCTTTATTATGATCTGAAGGGTTTTACATGCAAAAAAGGAGAAAACGAAGAAACCGGAGCTGATTTGTTTATAGCTCCAGATCGTTTCACTCGGGGCTTCTGGAGCACAGTATCTGCACCCTATGCTCCCAAGGGTGAGGAGTCGGGGCTGGCACCCAGCTCCTTGACAGCGGTTTATGGGAGAGGCACTTCCCACCTCATGCCAGGGTGGATTCAGCCCCAGTTCTCACCTCCTGCCACTCTCTCCCACTCACCCGAGTGAGTGCTGGGCAGGGGACTTTGAGGTCTGGCTGCAGTAACCAGCAGCCCCAGGTGAAGAGCTTCTCCCCAGGGAACCTCCTGGGTCTGAGTCCAAAGGGAAAAGCACCCCAGCCCCAAAAAGAGAGGGAGAAAGGAAAAGCCATCTCACCTTACTGGCTCCAGGAAGCAAGTGCAATTTGACGTACGGATCAGCCAAACCATTATGGTCCATTGGTTTCAGGCCCTTGAGAGGAAACAGCAAAAAGCAGGAGTTAGGAGAATGGCGAGATGCTGGGCTGGCTTCGCTGAGCCCCATCTACCCATGCTTGCTCCCATGGGACGTCGTCAGCCCATGGAGTAACTGCAGGTTCCCCACAGGATCTGGGCTGCGCAGCAAAAGCCGAGCAGGCTCTGTGTTCAGACGTCGGCTGCCACTTGTGCCGAGGAGGAGTTGCGGGAAGGCTTCTCAGCCGCAGCTGGCATCGGCCACAAAGCTCCTCTCCCCTCTTCCAGCAGCTCTGACACCCTGATCACAATTAATTTGGGGGTTAAGTAAATCAGCGCAGTGAGATTCAAGGTTTGAAATTACAGGGTTTTGTCATTCAATAATTGCTTATGAGCAAACATACACCTCTGCTGTTGTGGTGTTACTTCTGAGCGCTCCCAGAGGGTGTGATAGCACCTACCTAGTCCTAGTTATTAAGGCACAGCTGAAGGAAGAGCAGCTTTCAGGACAGCAGGAGGCTGTCGCCAACTGACTGCCATGGTGTTTGCAGGGAAACCTGGGGGTACTGGAGCACGGACATACGGAAATGCTCACTCTGGCCATTCCTGATGGATTTTCTATGAGACCCTCACAGCTCTTAAAGAGAGGGATCATGTTTGCTACAGAGATGCTCTGGAGTGGATCCCAGTTCAGGCAGAGGCAAATCTGCTCCTCTTCTAAACAACCAACGGGCTGAAAATTATCCAAGGGCGATGCAGAAATCCAGCCCAAAGCTGTAACTGCACAGACTGCACAGAAATAAACTCCATGGGGAATGGAAGCAACACAGGAGTGTGAAAAAATGGAGCCTAATTTTTACCGGTTCTAAGTGGAAATGAAAGTCCTTGGATTATTTCCAGCCTGGCTGCGGGATCCCTGCAGAAGTTATTTCTAGGCCGTCTGAAGGCAATCCTCAGCCTAGATCAGAGGAGGGTTCCTCTGCAGAGGAATGCATCCAACCCGGGCATGGAAACCAGGCTGGGTGATGCTAAAGCCTCATCGTGCCCTTTGTGTGCCGAGCTGAGTGCTCGGTGCTCAGGATTAATGAGGGCGTGCAGCTGCCAGGGATCCACCTGGCAGGGAAGCATCCGTATGGGCTGCTGGTGGAAAAGTGGCGTGCAATGAAAATGTAATCATCAAGGCCTGTTTTGGGCAAATCAAAGAGGGAAATGCTGGAGTAAAGCGTTTCCGTACTTCATGTGTACAAAATAATGCATCCGGCTTAGCCCACAGCAGCCCCTCAGGGTGCCCCCATCCCACTCCTTCCTGATTTGCACAACTTGGTCGAGGGTCTGAGCTGCTCTTGACCTTGGTGAGGGCTCTGCTTCGGAGACGAGTGCAACTGCCCCGAGGCAAAGGAGACCAAATGGTGCCCAGCAAAGAGGATTTTGTTTCTAAAGTAGAGCCAAAAGGATAAAAATATCTGCAGCGAATGGAGGTTAAACAGCTCTGCTTTAACTCAGTGCCTGTCGGGTGAAGTCCCTGGCCCCACAGAAGAGGAAGGCAGCAGATCTGGAGGGAGGTAGTGGTATTGGCCCCACAGACAGTGAGGGACTGGGCTGAGCTGGGTGGGATCCATCCAGGCAGGCGCAGGATCTGCTCACAGCTGTGCAAAGCGAGGGCTCCCCACAGCCCCCGCGGCAGAGCTGCCCCACCTGCGCGGTGCTGTGCGGCAGAGGAAACCAGAAACGAGCAAGCACACTCCCTGAAAATGGACGGAGAAAGACAGGCAGCTCTGTAATTCACCCATCAATTCAGTTCAATTAAATTACCTTCTGAGGAGGCTATTAAAGGCTTTTTTAATAGATGCGCTATGGAAGATGGAATGACAGGAGCCTGGAAAATGGCTCCTAATGTCACGTCTACCTCTGTCCCATGTCACTCGATACGAGTTTGGCACAGGGCTGAAGTCAATACAAGAGCAGCCCCAATGGCTCTGCCCCGTAAAGCTGCCCCTGTGGGAGCTCACCCCACTCAGGGACCCTCAGGGTGACCAATGCCGTTGCTTCCCCTGCATAGAGGGAGCTCCAACCTAAAGCTGATCCAAGGGAGCTGAGAAGCAGGAGGAGGAAGGACCACAGGGCTCGTACATGGGGCAGAGCCTCCCATTGCCTTCAGCCAGCGCAACCCCGGCTCCAACCAGTGCTCCTGCTGGGACAAGTTGATGGTGCTGTGCATCATGGCACAGGTGATGGAGCCAACACAGTTTCATCTTTTCCCTTTCTTTACCCAACCCCAAAATCCCTGCTGTAATCCTACAGGGACTGATGGCCCCACTGCATCCCAGCTGCTGCCAGCTGCTCTCCGTGCCAGTGACATTTAGCTAATCAATAGGATTTAATTATGAGTTGGGCTAATCGGGCTGCCGATTAATGACATACTAGAGGCATACAGAAATCATAGGAGACAGATTCATTCCGTCATTTGCCCCACGGTGAGCTGCACACCCAGTGAGCGGGCGCCCTGCTGCCCAAAAACCAGCCTGGACACCTCCTCCTGGGCCAAGGCATCCCATTCCAAAATGGGCCAAACTGCACTTCCACTGTGACAGCCCAGAGGAGACACACAGCTTCGAGACAGGAATTTCCCCGCAGTGGTAAATATTTATGAGCAAATCCATAAGTAATGCTCGGTGCAGACCTCCAGCACTCAGCTTCTCTTGGAAGCGGGGGAGCATCCAAATGCTCAGCAGGGTGGAAACTCCTGGGTGTTTTCTAGCTGCGGCTGCAGCCGGCGCTGCAGGGAGAGCAGCCCAGGTACGCTCGCATGGGCAATGTCTGCCTGGGGCCAGGGACCTGCCTGCACCGCTGCCTGCACCACCATCGCCCAGGGCGCCTTCCTCCCACAAGCAGGAGACCAACAGAGCTACAGGACCACATGGCCCCACGGTGTCTTTGCTGCCTCACACTCCTATAGATCCTCTATAGCAGCTTCTTACCTTGCTCTGTGCAGCAGCTGGGGCTCTGTAGGACTGAGCAGAAAATGAGACACTCACCCAAGCCGCAGCACAGACCCTGGCACCTGCACATCCATCGTATCCTTTTCTAGTCCATTTTACAGGAGCGGGCGATGCCCAGCAGAGCCCGGGGGCAGCCCAGCTCTTTCCCACACATGAGGGCATAGATCAATGCTGGGAGCGTGTGCGGTGCTCACACACAGCAGCAGGCAGCGAGGGGAGAGCCCTCCTGCCAGCCGCCCACGCCGCTGCTCCCGCAGTCCAGCAACGGGCTCCCACACCACCCTGATTTATTCTCCCATCGATCCAAGCCGAGGCACAACGTGCCTGAACGCAGCCATGCCTGAAGCGTGAAAGGCAGGGTAGGGGCAGGGCTGCTGCCATGACCGAAAGCTGTCAGGACAAGGTGGGGACTGGCAGGCTGCTTGCTCCTGCCCGCCCAGGGCCCCGAGCCTCCCTCTAGTTTTTTTTTGGATGTGCCACCACAGCCCTGCTCCAGCCAGTGAATGATGGGCCTTCTTGACCCTCACCTCCCTGGTGCTGTGATACCCATGGACAGTGTTTGCTTCGCCTCCATGATGCAGCACCAGTGAGCTGCAGCTGACCAAGGCTCATGCCAGCATGGCAGGGGGTGACAAATTGGTGGTGATGCTGGCAGCGTGGGGAGAGGTGTGGTGGCTGCCCCACCTGCCCAGGCTGTGCCCCGATTGCACCCGCTGAAGGCAATGCCAAAGCATAGGACTGTCCTAAGAAGTTAAGGCTGGAAATGGATGCTCCTTGAACATGCTGTGGTCTTCCCTCGCAATCCAGATGTGGAGCAACAGCAGCCCTGCACTCAATCTGTTCATCTCCAGGAAGAACCGGGATCCTCACTTCCCTGGCTGGAGCCTGCAGAGATGCTGAGCACTTCCTGCCTCCCAAAATCAGCTTCCAGATATCCATCTGTCGGCACAAAGTCCCTGACAGCAGGGCAGATCTATGTGCTATTAGAGAAACTGAGGCACCAAGTGCCTTGCTCCCATTGTAACCACACAGCTTGAGGATAGCGCTGTGGCTACCAGCTTCCACAGCTGCACCTCCTGCAACAACGCCAAACTCCTTTCAGTCCCTATTCCAGCTCCATCCAAAACAGGCTTGACTCAAGGGTCTGGAAACACCCCAAATCTCACAGACCCCGCTGTGAATGTACACCAAGAAGCACCTCAGATGTCCCCAGGCAGCTGGCACCAGGGTGAGCCCCCCCACACAGCGTGGTTATGCCGACCTCCTGCACAGTACAGCAGCTGAAGGCTGCCGAGCAGAAAATTGGTGGCAGAGCACGACTGATTGGATTTAACCCATCACCGGTGTCTCCCAGAGCCTGCTAACCCCCTTCCCACTCCCCAGGAGCCAATCATGGGACTCAGAGGGACATCAGCACACGTTAAAGTGCTGGAGATTAAAATAAATAGAGAGAAGCAAAAAGATCAAAAGGGGGAGAGAGGGTTGTTTTGGGGAGAAAGAAAAACACTTCTCACATGGCTGAAATAGCCCAGGTTTTATCAACTGCTGGCAGTGACTGAGGCTCCAGGAGCTGCTGGAGGTGGGACATGTCCTGAGGCCACCTTTCTTGGGGACCTGAGACATTGTCCCTACGACACCGGCCAAGACAGACCCAGCCCACGTCCAAGGACATGGCCCAGCGTCGTGCATGTGGCCCCAGTGCTTCCCGGCCACGGCATCACCTCCTCTACAGCTCTACTTCTAACGTCTACACAGCCAACGCCGGCTCCCTCCGACGGCAGCCAGAGTCCTGGCCCTTACCTTTTTGTAGTCAAGTTTTGGCAGCTTTCCCCAGGCGAGAGATGAAATGAGAGCGAGCAGATGGTAATGTAAATAAAAGAGAAAAATGGGAGAATGAGCGCAGAATGGAAATGAACAGGACTTGAACGCTTGAATGTCAGAGCAGTGAGGGTGGGTCTGCCCACCCCGCGAGCAGGGGCGATGCCAGCTCTGTGCAGTGTCCCCAGCCCCATGGGATCGGGTTCGACAACTGCTATTCCCGTACAGTCGGGTGGGCATGGCGGGTACCAGGGCTCTCTTTTGCCAGCCCTGCCTTTGCTCTTGCTGCTGTCAGACCCATCACTTGCCACTCGCAGGTCTCCTTCCTCCCTGTCTTCCACCCACTGCAAACCCAATTAGAAATCTCCTCCTTGGCACCGCTCTTGAGCGCACCAAGGGAAGCCTGACCCAGAGGCTGCTGGTGAATTCATGGGTGACAGGGAGGGGGGGTGGCAGGGAGGGAAGCAAAATCCACTCGCTGTCTCATCCCTGCCTCATCCCTGGGAGCTGCGGGTGCTGCGCTTGCCCCTCAGCCAGGAGCAGCTCCAGGTCTGCTGGGGCAGATGCCTCCACACTCATCCCCAAAGCCAAGCTCTTGTGCTTGAGGTCTTATTCCTGATGGGGACAAGACTGGGACGTGCGTTCCCAGCACCCAGCACAGTGGGGTCTGCGGTGGGGGCTGCAAATAAGGCAGCTACAGCTGGAAGGGAGAGGAGAGGAGCATCCTACAAAGGCAAATGGTGTGGGCTGATCTTTTGGGGGCTCAGCTCACAGCCCGTCCTCCCGCAGCTTCTCTTGGCTTCTGTAAAAACCTTCCACTCCTTCTCCAAGATCTACAGGGACGTAGGTCTGCTTCCACTAAACCACCACTGTCTGGGCCCAGCCGTGTTGACCTCGAGCTCTTGCTGCTCCAGACCTTGCACTGGGTGAAGCAGAGAGGAGCTGAATAATGCCAAGAAGCACCTTCCACGGGCCCAGAGGCAGAACCAGGACCTCAGTTATCTGTTTCTGCTCCAAAATGTGCAAAAACCCCCTAATTGCTTCCATCACGCAGACAGCAAAGGCGCTGAGGCAGAGCACTTTGTGGCAATGATTAGCAGCATTTAAAAGAGCCATTTATAAACTGACAGCCGGTCACAGCGTCAAGTAAATAACAACATTGAGTTGGGTGATTTTCTGAAAAGCATCAATAGCTGCAGCCATCTCATCACGGAGATGAGCAGCCATCCCCATCCCACTGGAAACGCCCCGAAAGGCAGGGATGGAGGGGAAGGAGAGGGCAGAAGCACTGGGTGTTGGGATGAAAGTGGAGCTGGCAAAGGGATGGCTGCAGTCGGGGACACCAGAGTCCCCAGAGCAGCCCAGGGATGGGGGAACACCCGGTTGTCCCCACTTTTGCTTGGCACAGCCACAGGCGGCCTCGTGGTTTTGGCAGGGCTCTGGTGGCCCCGTGACACAGGACAAAGGTGGCCAGCTCCAGGCATATTTGGTCCCGGCTGTTCACATGCCCGGTGCTGAGACATACCTTGGCTTTATTGATCGTGCAGTGGAGAGCGTTGTTTTCTTGATCATAGAGCAAGCTGAAATCCAGCGTCCCCAGAGTGGCTGCAAAGGAGAAAAGATGTTATTAACCTGTGGGGCCCAGCAAACACCGGCTCTTTTCTAAGCACAAAACGAGTGGATGAAGATGCTAGAGACATTACAAAACACACAGCATCCTCCTGTGAGCCCTGTTATGAAACACAGCTTTATGCTGGGAGGCTGGTGGCCATCCCCACGCTTGGCTGGTAGGGCTGGCACGGCCCTGGGAGAGGAGCGAGAGGGATGAATGGCTGTGGCTCGCCTGGGTGCTGTGGCCAGCGTGGAGGCTTTGCCTTTGTGGGCTTTCACCTGGGTCATCCCCATCTCTCAGCAGCCCCTCCACAGCCAGTGGCTTCCTGTCCACCAGGAGCTGAAGAGTCTTCTCTGGGAAGATCTGGGCACAGCTGGGACAGAGCCGAGACTCGCTGTCAGCACATCTCCCGCTCTCCAGCCCCGCCAGCGCTCCCAGAATGCGTATTTGTATACCGATACCTTCAAACAAATGAGCCACCAATGGGATCCCTTCCCGGCTCCAATTTGGCTGTAAACTGTAAATTAAGCCCAGTGAGAATGGAAACACTTCCATGGTTAAATTGGAAAACACAGCAGCTTTTAATCAGAGCAGCGTTCCTTTACAGCATCCGCAATCCAGGAACGGCAGCAGCAGGGAAGCTCCTGAGACAGGACCAGAGGGAAGGGGTAGGAGACCAGGACGAAGCAGAAGAGCCTCAGCAGCAAAGGTGCATTTGATTGGAGAAATTCTTTCCCTTTGGACAATCTGAGTATGCTAATCCAAAGCAGAGGAAAAACCTTAACAAGACAGGCTTTCTCAAAACACAATTTAACCTTCTCCAAGGCTCCCGGACCCATTCGCACACCAAAGCCCAGATACGGAGCAGCATCTCCCCCAGCTCAGCTTTGCCTGCCACCAGCCTTGAACTTCCAGGGAGGCTCTGGACCCTGCGATCCTCACTTTTCCATGTCTACCTTCCCAAAACGGGTCTGTCCGAGCACTGCCCTGCCGCCACGCAGCATCCCACCACTGTTTCCAAGGAAACTGCACCTTCCCACTGTGCACGCAGGTTCAGAACTGGAAAAAAATTTCCAAAATACAGAACAATTTTGCTTAATATCAAAGCAGGGTTTGCTGCCTGGGAGGTAAGTTAGAGGAACTTTACAGCAGGAAATAAGGTGGTTTTTTCCAGTGTAAATAGCCCCTGCAGGAAGGCACCCAGGGAGGCAGCGGATATTTGTGGGACTGAAACCTTCCTGCTGCAATTTCACAGCGATCTTCTAGCCCAAACGCAAGCGAGCTACAGGTTTGCCTGCTAGCAAATAAAATCATTGCTCCAGAGCAAATACCTTGCCTTCAAAACAGAGCAAATATTCCGAGATTTCAGGCAGAATAATGTACCCCACCTCGTTCTGGGGTAATTTCATGGCAATCAGCTCTCAGTTTAGGTCAGTCATAAATCAGTGGGCTTTACCTGCCAGGGCTCAGGGAAGATAGAAGTGATACAGGGTGAAACACCAAATTGGTGTTTCCAGAGCTGTCACCACTCCAACTCGCTCCATGTCACAAAAAGGAGAGGAAAGCGCAGCAGTGCCCCAGTGCCCACACTCGGTGACGGGGAGCTCACAGCCGTGTCCCAGCCGCAGTACCAGGGCGGGGGGTGTGCAGCGTGAGGCTCCACGGCACACGGGTGAAAGCCGAGTCAGCGAAACTCGACAAATCTGCGTTTTTCACTCAAGAGCGGAAGATGAAGCCTCCGGTTTCGGAGCCTCATCATTTCCACCTGCCCTTTAATCAGCCGCTTCCTGCCAGCCCCGCCGCTCGGCCCTCCCAACTTCAAGCTGTTATTTTATTTTTATCACAGAAGAAGGCTCACGGCTTAGCCTGCTGGATTGGGCAATTTATAAAACAAATTAAAAGCCTGGCATGAAAACAGACTTTGGCCAGGAAATACTGACAAAGCCTCCTGGCCCCTCGGTGCTGCAACCTGCCCCAGGGGCGAGGGCAGCAGGGAGCCCCAGCAAAACCTAAAAGCACCGTAACACAGCAGCAGACGCGTGTTTTGCAGATGAGGTCCTGCAAGGTCCTGCTCCCCAGTGCTGGCAGTCCATGAGCTGCTCCCCTTCATCTCAGAGCTGCCAGCAGATGGGAGGGCATGGACAGGGGTGCATGGCTCCCCCCAGCCCCCCTCTAGCCCTGGAGGGGGTTTTCTCCATGCAGGGATTATTTTTCCTTGATGATAAGTCTCATTTCCCAAGGAAGGGGCTGCCTTTGGCAGAGGGATGCAGAAACATCAGCAGAATGTGTGCTAAGTGCTTAAAAACACAGCCGTATGGAGATGGCAAAAGGGATCAGGCTGACTTGGGGTCTGGCAGTGAAGGTGCTGCTATGGAGCAGAGGGTGAGCAGCCCAGCTCACCGAGCCAGCGGCCAGGCAAACCAACACCAAAACACCAGGCACAGGTCTCCTTCTATCCTCCTGTAAAACCATTGGCAGCACATCCAGCTCTGGCTGGGGGAGACCTGGGGTCTCCAAGCAGCAGGATCATCCCCAAAGCCTTCGGGCTGCAGCAGCCTCCCAGGGACACACTCAGCTCCAAACAGGGCCCTCTGCAAAGCGGCCGAATTTCCCCCCTTTGATTGCATTCCTCTCCCACACGTACTCGGAGCTGAGATTGTGCTCTTAATGAGGGGATCGAATGCCTAAAAAAGAAAAGGGCAGCAATTAGACTCGAAGCGCTGTTACTGGATGTATTTAACTCGACTGGTCTATTCTGAACACTGCCCTCTAATCACACAGGCTGCAAATAAAAAAATATAAATAAATGTCTTTGTCAGGCATTACAAAGGCAGCTTTGCGCTCTCCAGACAGCAGGCAGGATGTATCATTATTATTACGATTATTCTGCTCCAATGATAAAATAACCATTAGGAGAGCTGAACTCATTAGCAGGTTCTAACCCCCTTTTCCTCTCCGTGAATTGGGAGAGATTGATGGGAAGGTGCTGGCCAAGGTCTAGCATTTAACATAGGCTCCAAAAAGGAAAATAAATCTGACTTGCGCAGGAATGCGACCTCTTCTCCCACTGACCTTTGGGTATTTCGATTAATTCAGTGGGCCACAAAATTATTAGAGGCCAGCATAACCAACAGATGCATTTCCAGGCTTAGCCGTGGGATACGGCAAGCGTGCCTGGAGCCGGCGGGCAGCGCGGCGTTCGGGCACAGCGCCGCTACCGCCCTTGTTGGTGGAGCCGGCAGAAATTGTTTATTGCTGACATTTCCCATCAGCGCCCAGGGTGACGGGGAGGCTGAAGTCGCTTCTATTTATACCTGCGGGATGAAAGGCAAAACGCAGTGATAAATCTGTGCTCTGCTCCCTTCTCCAGCCCCTGTCCTTGCAGGCTGTGTGCCCTCGCCTGGCCCACTCAGGGTGGCAGATCCACTCCCCTCGCTGGCCTGGGACACCCCAGGGAGAATAATTTCCCAGTCCAAGAGATGTTCAAGACATTGAAGAGGCATGGGTGCTTGCAGCACGGACCCACAAGCTTCGGCATAGAGGAGGGAACTGGTGACTGAGCGGGCTCCTTACTTTTCAAAGTCAGGGAAGCTTTCGCATTGCGACTGCCATTAGAAAGCCCAGCAAGGCTCTACACTGGGAGAATTGAGGTGTGTGCAAAAAAACCCCACTATACAACTAATTAAAAAGAAGTCCGAAAGCCTTAAGTCCCTCTGCTTATCAGTATTGCTGCTCCCAAGATAATCTGCTCGTGGATTTTGTGCCAGAGAGATCAGAGTGGAGCAGTAAAAAGACTGCTGGGGATTGTCTGGATTAGCTCTCCTTTACAGCAAGCACAGGTTCAGTAACCTTCAGACTGGGTATTTTTTAATGCACTATAAAAGATAGGTCCCTATTCTTCCATTGCTTTAATTTTCCCCTGCAATGGAGATAATTTTAAAGGTCCTGAAAGGCAGCAAGTAATTCTGTGCACTTACAGCCCCATGTAAAATGTCGGTAAATGACTCCTCTGGAGGAACAGAAATTATTTCTTGCCGTTTCCAAGCAGGGCTGCTGAAGACCGCGTTGGCGGCTGGCTGCGTGCACTCCCTGGGTAAGGCAGGGCCCTGTCCCAGCCCAGCCGCACACAGGGCGGGCAGCGAGCGTCCAGCTCTGATGGTGGCACTGACCTACAGCCGCAGGCATCGCTGCGGGTTTCAGCATCAGCCGGTGGTGGTGAAGGCAGGTGGAAACGAGACACTTCTGAAAGTCAGCATCACCACGAAAAATGTGTCCTGTGGAAGGTTTTGGGACATGTCCCAAGGGCAGCACACCATGCTGGGACACAAACATTCCTGTCAGCACCTGGACCACGCGATGCCACTTGGCAGCGTTGCAGGACGCTGGCCCATTGCTGCAGGCAGGGCAGGACATTCTCAGTCCTATGCAAAAACCCAGCAGGGAGCGGATCCAGCACACAGGCAGAACTTCCTTCCCTGGGAGCTCCATGGATGTGGCTGAATTCAACAGGACGAGGAGTGAGGAACAAGCACAACTCTTCTTGCTTGCAACTGCTCCCTGCCTCATCGTGGGTTTTTCACTTAAAATCTACAGCAATTAATAGTTCTTCGTGTTGGAGACACAGCGCCAGTCTCTGGCAAGCGCCGGAGCAGGGAGCTGCTTCTTTGCGAGGTTGGTTGATGGATGCTCATCAGCTCTTCTGTCTTCTCCAGGAGGAGTGTTCAGAGGAACACTTATCTGCTCAGAACAGTTCAGAGATGCAATTATGTTTTACAGCACTAAATGGTCCCTGATGTCAGCAGCAATTAGACTTTCAGCAATTTCAATTTGGAGATGGCCTTCAAATCTCTCCCTCTTCCTTTAATGAAATACAGTATTTGCTATTAACAACCCCCCAAAACTGCCTTCAGTGTTAAATACAAAGATGAAAGACCTGGGAACCCCTTGGGCTCCCAGTGCACTGGAGCGAGGGGTGTGGGTGAAGGGTTGAGGG